TGAGAATAAAGTACCACTCACGATCTATTTTTGATCATCGTCAGACCATTATGATCAATCGTTTGCTCCAGTTGATTGCCAACTGTTGTCAAATACAACTTTGAGTTCTGAAGTATTGCTGTGCAGTACAGTACAGTACAGTACACGCCTAAGCACAAGTTTTCAAAAGAATGCAACAAATGGGAATTACCTGCAGTTCAGTACGATCTTCTTCATTGTGGGAGTGTTTGAGGAGTTTCTNCCGAATGGTAAAAGTGAGAATAAAGTACCACTCACGATCTATTTTTGATCATCGTCAGACCATTATGATCAATCGTTTGCTCCAGTTGATTGCCAACTGTTGTCAAATACAACTTTGAGTTCTGAAGTATTGCTGTGCAGTACAGTACAGTACACGCCTAGGTTAAGCACAAGTTTTCAAAAGAATGCAACAAATGGGATTTACCTGCAGTTCAGTACGATCTTCTTCATTGTGGGAGTGTTTGAGGAGTTTCTAAAACAAAACACTGTAATACCATTTATACAACTAAAGAGAGAGACCATGACCATTCGAGATTGAAATTCTGATAACTACTGTAAATCGAAACAAGGAAGTAAAATTAGAAAAATGTAAAAAAATCCCAAAATGGCTCGGCGCTATAGTCAACTGGGAGGCGATTTTCATGTCACAACTGAATTATCCATAAATGGATGAGAAGTATGTATGTGGCGTAATCCGAAACCGCCGAATGTCGCCGGTCTGTTTGAACATTACTCTCATTTTTCTCATTGTTTCTCTGGGGAAATGGTATCAATACCCAAGCTCACGTCACTCCTTGGTGGCCACTCGATGTACAAGGCAGTGCTTCAATCCTACCAGACGAATCTGGTGCCGATTAATCGGCCCTACAGGGTACTATATGGGTGACTTGTACATCGAGTGGCCCCCAAAAGTCATTGTGTAGGCCCACTCCGCATTCAATACGCTACTCCTACGAATCCGAAAGGAAGACGAATGCGGGGCTTACCCAAAAAAAGATTGCCGTGGAAGACTTAAAACTGAGTGCTCGCTCGAGAATGGTATTTGTAGTAGTTGGCGATCGCATGGCTCTCCTTATGCTTTCATCTCTACCAGCATACAAGTTCTTCCGGACAAAACTCACATTTACATATTCCAAATAACGAAAGAAATGTATCAACGGTGCATGGAGCAGTGTAGGTAGCACATATTTCATGGCTAAACGGAATGTTGGCCCATCTAGAGTGACACTATAGGAACGATCATCGGTCTGAAAGAATTGTTGAAGTTACCACAGATGAATATAATCCCAGATGAGTAACTGACATCGAATAAAGCAGCATAATGCTTGTTTTCCAACAACTCTTCTATGGTTTTAGTGATGACCGGCGTCAGAATCTGTTCCGGTTCGTCGTCGCGGCCACGTTTCAAGTAAGCCACATATCTGGAAGCGGATTATTAGGGATAAACATCATCATGGGCCACCACAAAGTAGATAAATAATGGAGAAAGAAGACACGAAATCCTTTTGCGAAAAACTCACCCGTCGAACTCGTATGCCTCCGCCAGTTCCCATAAACCCATTCCAATGCAGGGCGAATCACTCATTTCTATTGAATCTTCAAGTGTTCGTTCCATTTTCATCGTCAGTTCATGGATTTCTGCTAGGTTTCCAAACAGAAGACGAAGATAAACCTTAAAAATAAAACCGGTTTTTCTTAAAATAGGATCTTTTTTACGTTTTGCATTTTGTTAACTGAAAGAAGTATTTATTAGCAAGTCACATCTTCATCTTTCGACAGAAAGAGAAAAGTGGAGAAAGGGAGTACATGATGGTGTGAGCCGTTCTCCAAGAAAATTTCCAAACTATGTGATCATGTCTTTACCTTAGGGAACACCAACACGCCGTAGCGTGATCCCTGGAGTACTGAGAGAGCCACTAACGGATGGTATCGGAAGATGGCCAAGATAATGTGGAAGCAGCTTCATTCCACGCTTTTGGAACTTCATAAAGGGAATAGAGCAGAGCAGTAATAGGCAGAGGATGAAGCATGTTCACAAGCACTTTGGAAGTGATTTGCGCAAAAGTGTAAGAGAACAAAAACAATAGATTCGCACTGATGAATCAGGCTTTTTCGGGAAAATGGTCCTAAAAGTAAAAGAATCGACCTGAAGGACAACTCCTTAAAAGCTAATTCCTAAAGAGCCTTCGGAAGAATTAATAAACACGTTGAAGCTATATGCAACAACCTCAGAAGATGACCCTAATAACTGAAATTAGTCGTCGACAACGGGAAAACCAACCTTGTCCTCATCCTGTAAAACACTTTCCAATCTTCGGCGGAACACATTGACTTGATTCAGTTCTCGAAGATAGAGTCGTTCTTCTTTCAGGAAGTCGCTCGCTATCTGAATCACAGTTGATTATTGAAATTCAAGAAATTTTCAACTCTGAAAGTCCGGTTAGAAGTGGAAACAAGCGATATGCTATAAAACAGGAGTTCAATAACAACATGTTAGGTCTTTCAAGAACTACTACTTGTTATTTTCAAATGCGTGCGTGTGTGTTTGACTCGACCGTTGACGATAAACCTAACTAACCGATTCGTATGACGTGTACTTCTGTTCCTCGTCATCAGAGTCGTCGAGATCGAATTCGTAGAAGTTCGAAAGGAATCCGCCGGGTGACTGGTCTTCTTCATCATTCTTCAGCGAGTTTGACAACTGCATCAGGGCCTAAGAAACAAAGAAATGAAAATAAGAGCACTATGCGATCTGAAAGACGAGTCAAATGGCTCTTTCTATGCCAAGCTTCTCATCATTGGAGTAGCGTAACCGAAATGAGTACAAGCGGTATGCTTTGCTTCTACTCAGTTGCGTTCTTTTGACTTCACGAGCAGATCCGTAGTGCAAACTGGACAATCAGTTAAACGCTCACCTTATCCGCACTCAGCGCGATTTTCAGATTTTGGAGATTGATTTTCTTATCGGAATTTCGGATATTTTTCACGTAATTGCCAGTCCATTTCATAATGTCCTTAAGGAAATTCATAAGACCCTTCAAAATACACAAAAATATATTTCAAGAGATACCGTACCTCAGAGATTCCCTCACAAATTGCTATCAAATAATAGGCCATTTTATCTATCTCTTTGTCCTTTTCTCGATCTTTCTTATCCTTTTCACGTCCTAAGTTGTCCTGAAAGCTCATTCTGGCGTTATGAGATAACGAAAAAAGTCGAAATCCATCAACAACAACTATAACAACAATAACAAACAATATAACATCAAACAATAATTATAATATTGATAATGAAGTAATAACAAGAAATACAAAACGATTAGAAAAACTAATGGAACGGTACATACATGAAATCGTTTACCTTGATAATGATAGTCATCTTATGGTGAAGTTCGTGAGGTAGCCGTGATGCACCAAATCTGCTGGTATGGAATTTTCGACTGCTTATGGCATGGTTATACATCGCATCCCAAGCATCCTTAACACAAAAAAATTCTTCCCAGACTCTCTGAATATTGAAAGCAAAAAAATGGTCTAAAGAAAAAATGAACCGATCTGACAATAGTTTTTGACACAATATTCCTTATGTAATCTTCAAAATTGTGTTCCAATGGGTTCCGCCAAAGATTTTTCTTCAGAGTTTCAGGTTCATGGTTTCGCGTAGGTACCACAAACCTAATTTCTCAAGAACACACCCAAATGCTACGGATAGATATCCATTTCTCTCCAAACTCTCTTCGACAAACTGATCTGATTCGATTAGTCCGAATCGTCATAGTCAGCTCTTGGATCCAATCCAATCAATCCAGTTTACTATCAGTAGTTGTTAAAGCCTCTTCTCATGGAAGGGCCGTGCAACCGTTATGAGGATGTGATCACCACAATAAAAAGCAATCATATAATACTAGAAGACCTTGAGCAATAGGCACCAAACTCTGTGGCTCTAACCAGGGAGGGGTAGTCTACTTATCTTGGAACTTTGAATTCAGACCCAGATAGATCGATAGGGTTTTGAATGCTGTTTACGAAAATGGAAATTAAANGAGGATGTGATCACCACAATAAAAAGCAATCATATAATACTAGAAGACCTTGAGGAATAGGCACCAAACTCTGTGGCTCTAAGAGTAAATTTCTCGACTTTAGTGGGCAACTTCCCACAACAGAGCGCTCGATGAAATAGGTCTACAACAGCGGGAGCTAGATGGCCTTTGTGGCCAACAAAGCTGTCATCGTAAAACGCACCGAATTTCCCAAAATAGGAAATACTTACATATAATCTTTTCTAAAGTAGTGTGAAATTCTGTATTTCAACTCCTGTTGAACATTAACAAAAACTAAGAATATAAAATGTTTAAACTGATCAATCCAGCCTTCATGTTTGCTTTTCGTACCAAAGCATAAGACAATTTACATGCACTTCACCCCTGGAATTGGAGGAAGGGTCGAGCAATTCATACATTAGCGTCTTTCACCTTTCAAGCACCTCTGTAGCGGCCGAAATATCGAATTGAAGCCGATTAACACCATGGCTTACAGGAGCCATGGTGTTAATCGCTTACAGGGCTTTTTTTGTCCTCACACAAATCCCTGACCCATTAGGAAACAACAGGAAGATGAAAATGAAATTTTCTTATTGGTCTGTCTTGAGTATAGCTACGTTGTGTTCAAGAACAACGACATGATCAAAAAAGCCCTTTAATGAATAAAAAAGCAGTAGGAAGGATAATGAAAAAACAGGATTCAACAGTACCTTAGTAATCCAGTGGCAAGACGCTGGGAAAAGCTTACGAGCAGCCTTGTCCATATCCACAACACTGGATGTTTTCTGCTCCAAGATCTACAACTCGCACTACCATACAATTCAAATCAAGAAATAAAGTTGTCAAATATGGCTCACCTCGGTGACAATCTGACTGACGAGATCTCGGATGTGTAACACAGCATCGTGATCAATCGCCATTCCAGGGTGTACTGTGCCACAAAGCTAAAGAAAACCAATTTTATTGGAGCCTTATCCTGGATTCGAGCTCGGGACTAAGCTGTGTGGTAGCACTCGCCACTATACCACACCTGACAGTAAATATCTTGTCAACAGTAAACTCTAAAACCTGGTTTTTCCTCGCTGAAACCAATGAAAAACGTTGTAGCATTGAGTCTTTATCTGTTTTTCAGCAAAATTTTTACTCAAAGTCTCAAAACTAGATCCAAACCATTTTGCTTACGAAATGAATACTCAGGCGTCTCTACGCGACTTTACAGGAGTTGTCCCTGAACTATTTTAGAAATTCGTTTTTTTCGGTTGTGCCCTTTAGGTTAGGAGGATCCCACATATGACATCGCAGACGTCGCAGATTATAAGCCCATATCCCTTGTTTATAAAGGA